TGCACGGTGACCGAAGGGGCAAGAAGCCACTCTAAGTGCAGTCGGACACTGCAAGGGTGGAAATTTTCATGCTTTAAGATTTTGGATGGGATGCATCATGCTTTTTCATAGACTTCCAGAATGGTTTGGGTTGGAGGGGACCTTTGAAGAGTATCTAGTTCCAACCCCCCTGCCATGGGCAGGGACACCCTCCACTACACCAGGTTGCCCAAAGCCCCATCCAACCGGGCCTTGAACACTTCTAGGGATGGGGCAGCCACAGCTTCTCTGGGCAACCTGTGCCAGTGCCTCACCACCCTCAGAGGGAAGAATTTCTTCCTCAGATCCCATCGAAATCTCCCCTCTTTCAGTGTAAAGCCATCGCCCCGTGTCCTGTCACTACACTCCCTATCCCTCCCCATCTTTCATATCACTTGAATATGGGTTTGTTCTCTGCTAAAGTATGCTGATGCTAAATCATCTTGGTCATCAGCACTGGGGCTGCGTGCCGCTGCCTGCAACTGGCTGCAGGTTGGGGTGGTGCTCAGGATCCCAGCAATCCCAGCTGCTCGTTTAAACACCCTCCGCGTGTTGCTGGAGCCCTTGTTCCATCATCCCAAATTAAGGAGCAACGGAGCTGATGGGAACAGATGACGCTGCCCGGGGAAGCAGCGCAGATCTCGCCCAGCCTGGGGGGTTATCTGAAATCTCTCCTTGCAGCCCAAATTACAGCGGGCTAATCCTCCCCATGATGACTCGTTGTGCAATTAGCAGAGAACATCCCATCTGCATATTTTAATCCCGTGCAATTGGATACCAAGCTGCTGCTTTCCCAGCTCCGCGCCCAAGAAATTGCCCGTATAGCGGCGCGAGGGATGCGTAAATCCCGTGGGTGTCATAGAATCATAGAATCATAGAATGGTTAGGGCTGGAAGGGACCTTCAAAGGTCATCTAGTCCAACCCCCCTGCAAGGAACAGGGATATCTCCAACTAGATCAGGTTGCTCAGGGCCTCGTCCAACCTGGCCTTGAACGTCTCCAGGGATGGAGCATCCACCACCTCTCTGGGCAACCTGTCAGCTATCCCTGCTGCCCGGGCTCTGATCCTGTGCTTCTTGCTTCTTCTAACCCCTTGTTTTTAATATGTTTGCTCTCTTTCCAGATCCGGAGTCAAACATTGTATGCAACTACACAAGTCTTACATCGGTGCTGCGGCCGCTGTTCCGCAGCGCCTCGTCTGTTTGCAAGAACAAAAGAAAAAAAAAAAACAAACAAAAAAAGTGCAAGGGTCACTTTATGCATTCTTTAGTGGTTTTTGTAAAAGCTGCTTTTTCTAATCTTCTGCCTCTTTTTTTTTTTTTTTTCCTCCCCCCTCTCTCTCCCCCTTCCTCCTCCCCAACCCACATAAATTGTGTAACACACATACTGACACTGAGCAATAGTAAAGTTCTCTCTTTGGTCCTATCGTTTGAAAGCTCAGAATATTCACTCTTCCAGCATTGCCCAGCGGAGTGGTGCAAAGATCCCCCCCCTCCACTTCTTCTTCGTTTGGGTCCTTTCCGTTATTTTTCCGTTGTCGTCGTCGTTGACAAGAGCCTAGATCTTCGTTGGCAAGTGAGAGTGGTTGGTGTTCAGGGTACTACGTGAAAAGCACAGCGCTGGTAGGCAGGCTTCTTCCCATTTTGGTTGGGGTATTTTTAGTTGAATAATATAAATTATTTAATCTTCCATAACATATTGCAAGAAAATTGGTGTCTTCCAGATAGCTGTCGTGATAGGTTATAAATGCATTCTCTGCAGTGAAATTCCAAACTCATCCCTTCTTTTGTAGGAGTAAGAGACTATAAATATAATTAGCGACGTAACGCACTCGTCTTAGGAAGTAGGAGGACTGGTCACCATCGGGTCTTTAGGCTGCTTTTTCCAAGTGGGCAAATGGATCTTGCCTGATGGGAAGAGAGCAGCGGAGAAACGTGTGCCCTGGTAGCATCTTGCACCTCTTGGGGAAACGAGGTGCTCCTCATCAGCCACGTCCTGGGGCTGCGCGACAAAGAAGGCAGCTCCTTCCTTGCATGGCTACTGTTTGCAGGCAGAGGTGGGCCAGATGGCTGTTGAAGGAAGCAAGGAGGTGGCCAAGACTTGGTCTGAAGAGCTTCGCCACGTCCAAGGAATGGTCTCAAGAGCTTCTCCAGGTCCAGGGGTTGGTCTGAAGAGCTTCTCCAGGTCCTGAGATTGGTCTGAAGAGCTTCTCCAGATTCTGCTGGTGTGGGGAAAGAGGGCAGCTGGTCGATGGAGAAGTCTCTGGGGCAGAGTGAGGGGAAAGACAGGTGGCTTCACCCTACAGCTGTGTCATTGGCAAGGCTGAGACCAAACCATGATGCCTCCATGGTGATCAGGGTGGCCCCTGTTCTTAGGGTTATAACTAAGCTCGGAGACTTTTAGGAGAAACGTACATCCAGGCACAAATCCTGGAACCACAGAGGAAGGCTGGAGAGGGGGATGATGTCCAGCTGCTCTGCTTGATGAGAGAGGAGAAGCAGAAGGAAGAGGAAGCCATAGCAATAAACACATCGCCTTCCTCATGGAAGGTACCTGAGAAAAGGCGAGAGCAAGGAAGGTGTTCCATGATTGACATGGACCAGGCTGGGAGACCATGGGCACGCAGAGGCTGTGGGCATCGGGGTCATTTCTGGGAGTTTTGGCTTACCCAAGGGGCACGAGGACTTGAAGCCAACTGCGGCTGGTAACATCTCACCTTGAGGTGTCCAAGTAGAGCAGTAACTTGTCTTGAGGGCAGCAGAGAGAGTTTGTATTTTCAGACAGCACTTGCAGCCAGTTTATTTTTAAATCCTTGTCACTGAACCCAGCATAGGAACAAGGTTTTTCTTCCTTTTTTTCTTTTTCCTAACCCAAAACCATCATTGGGTTTTGATTTTTCTCTCAAGCGTGCCAAAAGAGTTGCATTCACACGGAGATGTTCGCAACTCTCACATCTCCAGGGCTCTGAGGTCATCACAGCGGGCCAAATCCGGAGCCTTTAAAGAGGTCAGGTTAGGAGATGGGTGGATGGGAATCCCTCCTGGCGCTGCTTGACGTGGACTTACAACCCATGCATGGTGTTGAGTCAGCACCCAGCTGTCTTTGTTGGTTGCTCTGCTTTGGTCATGTCTGGATCACATCTCCAGATGGAGGTGAGGGCAGTGAGGATCAGCTCTAGAGGGTCACCCTGACCAGGATGTGATGGTGTAGAGGTCAGACTGGAGCGTCTTTCAGAAGAGCAAGATGACAGGTTGGCACCTGGGTGAGACCTCCTTGATCTTGGTGATGTCTCCCAGCTTGGCTTCTGCTGTTTTGGGGAGGAGCTACTGGAGCTCCTTCCCATGAGTGTGGTCCAGATGGGGAGAAACAAGCTTAGAGACCCAAGAGGACTTTTCCTACTGCTAGTTGATCCCAAGTGGTTTGTCAGGTTGGGTGTTGGCGCTGGCACTTCTATATGGGGGTCATTTGGTTGGTTCTGCTGTTTTTAAAGGAGATCTAGCAAAGCTCTGCTTGACTTTCCCAGCCTCAAGGGAAACAAAGTGGGTGAAGACTGAACATCAACACTGTGGGATGGGGAAGGTGGATTTTGCCCGTGTAGTACTTTGGGTTTCACTTTGGGTGTGTATAAAAGGGAAA